TGTGCTGCTTCCACCCACCAGTAAACACATGTGGCCAAGAAGGGGTGTGGGTAGCTCCTTGCTCTAGAGCGGTGTCTCGTCCGTGTCGTCTCCTTCGTTCTGCTCCTTCATCCGTGCTCTGAGTTCTGACGATGCCGCGTGCTTGCACAGCATGCCTAGCAAGGACTTTCGAAATGATTTGCAAAGGAAGAAGTAGATGAATGGATCAAGGCAAGCGTTCAGCGACGTCAGCCACAGCGTGCTCTCTTTCAAGTAAAACAAGGTGTTCTGAGCAAAGCATTCGAAAACGTCTCTGGTTTGGCTCAACGTGTAGGGGATTCTGGTGAAGTGGAACGGCACGAAACAGATGAAGAAGACTGCGATAATGATGAAGACCTTCAGATTTACAGTCTTTTTGGATGTCTTTCCTGTGCATCTTGTCCTTTTGTAGGATTTGTACAGTTCTTTACTTATGAGTATGTAGCACACAACTATGACTGCTAAATTAACCCAGAAGATAAGCTGACAAATATAGTTCACGATTTCGTGCCAGACTAAGCCAAACTCAGATTTCAGGAGAGCACACTTTTTTACGTTCTTAGGCGTTTTCTTCTTGTTTGTTAGAATCATGTTGGGTAACGAAAGAGCAAACATTGATATCCAGATTGCTGCGGACAGGATCTTGGCACCTAAAAGGCTCCTTGGTGTTGATGTTCTGAACGGCGAGGTGGCTTTCTGATAGCGATCGATAGTTATTAGACCAAGAAACAAAATGCTGATGTACATGGTGAAGTAAAATACAACCTGGGAGACCTGGCACACAAATCCTCTCAGTACCCATGATACCAGCTTTGCATCGCTCAGGATTTTAAATGGAAAAGTCAAGATCATGAGGAGGTCAGAAATGACAGTGTTCTTGAGGAAGATGATGAAATGGGATTTACTGGATATTTTAAAAAAGACCCACATCGCCAGGCCGTTCATGATGATGCCCACCAGGAACAGAATTGTATAAAGCAAAGGAAAGATGACTTGACTGATTCGGTTATCGCTGGTGCAGTTGCTGTTGTTTCTAGGGTAGCTGAAGTTGGTTATGGCTTTCATTTGCACTTGTCTTTTCCCCCCTCCCTGTAAAAACAAAAGAGAAAAAATGAAATTGTGAGTTATATGTATCATAAGACTTCACTATTAGTCTACTTTTAATTTTTGTGTTGGGAACATTTCTGTGGGGATTTTAGCTTCTAAGTTGTGTTTTATTTTACTGAAGATGTCAGGTGTCTATAGAAGAAGAGCAGTAGATGTAGCCATGTTTGTAAGGTGGCTTGGATCGATCTTCTGGTGAGCTTCCATCCTGGCCTCCTGAGCTTCTCACACAGCTTCCCCATGACCCGTGCTGCAGGGTGGGCACGGGGCTGGCACGGTGGTGGGCTGCGGGGCCGGCACAGCCGGTGTCGTGCTGCCTGTTCCCTGGCGTCAGGGTGCCAGCGATGGCACAGCTCCCGCTGGGTGCGGCGCGGGGCTGGGGCTCGGCGGGTGGGTGTGCACCCCACGGAGTCACCGTTTGTCATTTCCAAGGGGAGGAAAGTGAGAGAGGCACCCGCTCTTCGACCCCGCGCGTTAGCGCCCGGACGGCTAACGGTGGCTGCTGCCGCAGGGCTTACCGCCCGAAGTTGGTGGTGGCTTCATTCCCACGGGTGTTGCAGTACACCTTCTCTCCCAGTTCCACAGTTTATCCCGTCGTTTTCCTAAATCAGTTGCTTTACCGGTGCTGTGTTGCAAAGGAATTTCAAACTTGGCTGGCTTGAGCCGCGCGCTGTGAGGCGCGCCCCGTCAGGAAGCGGCTGCCGAGAGCCCGCGGAGCGCCGCGACCCCCCAGCCCGCTCCGACCACGGAACCGAGTGTGCGGCGGCCGCCAGGCAGCCACAAACCCTGAGCAGTCAGCATCCGCGGAACCAGTAACAGCCGCTGGGCTGGGAGCTGCTGCGCTTAGTCGGAGAACCTCGATGGGCTCAGGTCTGACCCGAGCCGGTTGCCCGGGAAAGCCGGGCAGGGATGCCGGAGCAGTCAGTTTAACAGGAGTAACTTCCAGGAGTGCAGCGATGCGATTGCAAAGGTGGCTGTTTCTGTGTGCCCTCTGCCTTGGTGGAGTAAGGCACTCAGGATTGATGCCTTGTCAGCCAGTGCCCGGCCACCCCTGGCATCTCCCTTATGGAGCTGCAGTTTTATTTCTGTCTGTAGGGTAGAAATAACCTGGCCTGTGCTTCGAAGCACGTAGCAGATGCAGCTGCCAGGTCTAACCCTGATGCAGTGAGGATGCCCTAAGCGTGCGAAATCAGACGCCTTCCTCCCAGCCCCAAACCCAAGAGGAGATTACCGTAGCGTGCTGTGGAGAAGGGACGAAAAGCTTAGGGATTTCCTGCGACGGGAAGCTGGTGTTGCTGACGGAGGGCCCTTCGCAGTTCCTCTATCTCTTCACCGTGGGGGCAGACAGGAGCGTTCCTGTGTAAATCCCACGGAGCAGGGAGAGGCTGGAGGAGCAGTTGTGCATCCCAGTTCTGAGACTCGGACCTTCTTCCTCTGGCTTCGAACTGGTTCCTTAGCCAGAGACAGCTGCACATTCCAGGTGACGCTCTCAGTGCTTCTGCTTTTGTTTCCTCTAGAAGAGAGAGAGAAATAGAATTTTAAAAAATATTTAGAGGTTTACTTCCTGCTTTTGACCTACAAACAGAGTCACTATTTTTAAAAGAGAGCAAGTATTTTGTAAGACTGTGCAACTTCTCTGCACGTAGAGTCGCGCTCCTGTCTACTACCCTTTTGCCTTGTGATTCTTTAGTGTTATTTTTGTACAGTCTTGTTTTTTAAAAACTTTCTAAGTGGTTGAAAGAGGTAGTGATTGCTTAGTTTGGAGAAAGTAAGTGCTCCAAGTTTTTAAGTTATGTACAGTGCATCAACATTACATGGTACATTTTATTACATTTACTATTTCAATAAACTATACATACTTCAATTTCTTGGGTGCAAAATAGAATTTCAGGAGTTGGGCTGCATCTTTTTTTCAATGGAGTTGTACATAATAGGAGAAATGTCACACAGTTTCTAGACATCTGTCTTCCATTTACTAACCTGCTACTGAATGTCAATCCAGGGGACAGTTAGGAGGGTCATCCGTATGCATCCTCTGACTCTGTCCGTATGGATACATACAGAATTCATAGTATCGAGTGACAGTTTTTCCCTCTGTGTTTTCACCCGACTCTTCAGTGATTTCCTTTGGCACAGTTTCCTCCACGCTGATAACCACAGGAGATGCTTTTCGTGACCAAGAGTTAGTTATTGTTTGTTGCCGCCGGGGCCGCTCGGGTCGGGTGTCGGCGGGTGATGGTAGAAGAAAGAAAAGAGACTTCACTCATGTCTGGTCTTTTCAGGATGAATCCTCAAGTCATGAGTGTAACCAGCGCATGATTCTCCTTTATGGCGTTGGTAAGGAGCGCGACGAAGCGAGGCATCAGCTGAAGAAGATTACCAAAGACATCCTCAAAATTCTGAACAAGAAGAGCACTACTGAAACGGGCGGTAAGTGCTTCCACGCTGCAGCGGTACCCTGGAGCACAGACCACGGGAGCTGCCGGGACCTCAGTGGGTTGTCCGGAGCCGCGCGGGTTGGTACGGGTGATCCGCCGGGCTGCCCCGCGGCGGGGCCGGGACGGTGCGATCCACTGGGCTGCTCCATGGTGGGGCTGGGATGGGCTGGTGCAATCCACTGGGCTGCTCTATGGTGGGGCTGGGATGGGCTGGTGCGATCCACTGGGCTGCTCCATGGTGGGGCTGGGGGGGGGGGGGGCGATCCCCTGGGCTGCTCTATGGTGGGGCTGGGATGGGCTGGTGCGATCCACTGGGCTGCTCCATGGTGGGGCTGGGATGGGCTGGTGCGATCCACTGGGCTGCTCCATGGTGGGGCTGGGAGGGGCTGGGGCAATCCCC